TTGCATCACTTTTTATAGCTGAAACTGCAGTTAAGAGTAGATTCACAGCTTGCATTATCATTGCTTACCTTGAATTACCAGGCATTACTTTACTATCTTTGTCCATAAACAGTTCACTGCAGGTTGCTTGCAATAATGTTTCTGATGGTTTAACTGCTTTCTATAGACAAATTGTAAGATAATTCTGATCATATAGACTACTTTTTAACACTAGCTTCCTGTTGTAACATAGCAAAATAATAAGCAGAAAAATACAAAATCTTTCCTGCTTATTTTGCTTCCATCTCACTCTCCTAATGATTTCTGTCCAATTTTTTCATTTCCTCTTCTTCTTCAATAGAGAAGAGAAGAATATCAGGCAAGTTTTGTTGCCTGCAAAGCTGTAGCAGCCAAAAACACAGTAATTATTTACCATTGCAACCAATGGCTCTAACAGCTTATTCCCACAATGCTATATCTGAGAAAATGGCTAGTGAACGAAATAATTGTAAATTAACTTTATAATGTCAGTAATTTTTAGTGATATGGTTGAAAAATGTTAATTAAAAATTCCCAACATAAATGATGCATTTCAATAATGCACATTACTTTAGATTGAATTAAAGTATCTATGATTGAAAGCAAAAAGGTGTGGAAAATTTGTCAACATACAACAGTGTAGTCTCGCAAGCCAGACCCTCCCCGCCTACGGTCATCGGGGTGGACGGCGGGGAAGACGGTCTGGCTTGAGAGACTACTACACTATTATATTGACTATTGTTGTTGTTATTGGAGAAAGATATGGGATGAATGAGGAAGATACTAAACAAGCTTTGAGATATTTCCATGATGTAAGTCTCATGTTATATTATCCAGAAGTTACAAATGTCGTCTTCATCGATTCAAAGCCAGTCCTCGAGATTCTCTCACAATTATTAGCTCTCACATACGTTGATGATGACAATGCTTTAGTTTCAATTTTAGACAAACCTCTTCCTCTCAAAGTTACCAATAATCTCAAGGAAGGATTCTTCAATGAAGATATTTTTGAGCATTTGAAGTTAAAGTCTGTCATATTTTCCCTACCAGAGTTCCAGTTGTTTGACCTAATCAGACTCCTCCTTTATCTTAACATCATCAAAAAACTACAAGATGAACAAAAGGGACACTACTTCATTCCTTATGCTCTTCCTTCATACAATGAACCAGTTTCAATTAAGGAGACTAATGCTAAGCCACTTGTTATAGTCTGGAGGGAAGAGAAGAGTGAAGAGATCCTACCCGTTCCTACAGGATTGTTCCCTTTAACCATTGTATACCTACTCAACCAGAAAGAACACATTACTAAAATCTCTCCATCAACACCAGAGTATCATAAATTTCGAGATGCCATGTCCCTCAAGATAACAATCACACGAAAGCATACACTTCACCTCATCAACCGTTACACTCATATTGAGGTGTACTTTACTGGTCCTACCCAGCATTGTCCATTAGTACGTAAGCTACTCACAACAGCTATTGATAATAGCAGTGATGCTATGCACCTCAAGCATAATTACGTCAATGCATTTGCTTGCCCTTACAATGAGAGTTGTTATTGCATCGTAAATGAAGGTTATAAAGTAGCTGATTGTACAGTTTGTGGTGAATCTCCTGATATTGGCAATGACTATTGGATGTGGTTTACTGATGCACAAGGTATGTGTATAATAATAATTATTATTTATAGTTTATCACTTGTGTATTGGACCTGTTGAGAGTAACATTGGAACACAAATAAAACAAGTTAATGATCCGTCATTGGATGAAAGTAAGGATCTATTGTATTGTTATTACTATCTAATGTATTTTCTAATATTTTAAAATCTACTATAGACTTGCTAGAGAAGAAGCCACTAAAGAGTGACCTCCTTAGGTTATTTAAAGGTTCTGCTGTTCATTATATGGTCATTGGTACTGCACTTGATGTTGAAGTGAATGATCTGTTACCTAATCCACAGTCGACCACTAGTAATCTCATACTAGTGTTCCAGAGATGGATAGACTCTAATAATGATGTGACCTGGAGGAACATACTTGAAGTTTGTGAAGATTATCCAGGTGAACTTGGTAAAGCAAAATCTGATGTGGAGGGATTCTTGTCATCAGATAGAGCCCGTAATAAATATAAGTAACAATACATTTCCATTTTCCATTGATTTTTGATTGCATACATACTTGCATACATTATGCTTAGTTATATTGTTATTGTTGCTTGTCATTATTATTATTAGTAATATCAATACTATTGTTATTATTTCTGCTTTGTTG